CACGGTGTTTAAAAAGTCAAACTTAACAAGCAGTTAACGAAATGATGATGTCACATGACGTAGCACGTCAAATAATGGGTTATTTGTCTAAGTCGAAAACTTTGTGGGTGCATTTGTCCCCGTTTTTTGTTCAGATGTGGATCCGTCCCTGCCCCTATAGTTGAGGGGCGGATTTGGGTATTTTGCCCTTGTAGTATACTTTTTGTGGGCGGCAGCATCAGGATGGAGTTGGTAAAGACATTGTTTGTTGAATTTTGAATTATTTTATGTTAGTTTATTTTGTAAAATTTAGGTCATTGGTTTGTACTCATCATTAAGGATTGTTGAAAAAGAGTGATCATGTGGCCTTTTTGCCGATGGAAGAGAGAAATAATTAAATAAAATGATATAATTTAATATAATATTTTAAATTTAAATTGATCCAGTTAGTTAAATTAGTTAAATTATATTTAGTTATAAATTTATCAACGATTTGTTGATTCGATTAAAAGAAGTTTGATTCCTTTTAATTAAGATTTTAAGTTTAGATCTTGTAAATAAAAAAATAAACATTGAAAAGGTTTCTTTTATGAGATCCGACATAATTTAATTTTAAATTAGTCGAAATTCAATATAATTATTATATACATAAATATTAGTACTAAAAAAAAGGTTTAATTATAAATTTAGTTTGGATAATAACTTAAATTTGTCTGTAGAGTTGATTGGGATAAAATTATTAACACTTGGATAGTGACCCAGTGAATCAACTCATTCATTTTTTTTAAAGGAGAAATGGGAGTGAGATATTGGGTTTCGAATTCTTACCTTTAATTTCAAAATTCAAGTGCTTGGCCACATGGACGGGATGGCTCTTGACAATATATTTTATTTAGAATGTTATTTATTATAATTCAAATTATATAAAGGTATAAAATTGATACAAAGTTATTTTAAATTGGGTTAAATGCTTAATTTGGTCCCTCAACTTTAAGAAATGAACATTTTTGGTCCCTCAACAATTTTTTGCACTTTTTTGATCCCTCAACTTCACGAAATGCACTCCGTTAGTTCTTCTGTTAATTTGAGCCGTTAACTCGCTTACGTGTTATTTTTTATAATTTTTTTTGCCGACGTGGCAAAAATAAATTAAAAACGTGTCAACTTAAAAATTTTTTTTATAATTTTTTTGCTGACGTGGCAAAAATAAATTAAAAACGTGTCCACTTAAATTTTTTTTATTTAATTTCTAATTAAATCACAAATTTCTAATTAAATCACAAATTTCCTCATCAAATTTTCTCTGCAAATTTTCTTCATAAACATTACAATTTTCTCACCAACCAAACATCTATTCCA